ACATAGCCTGCCTTTAGCCAGTAAACCAGTTTCAGATTTGCTTGACTGGCAAAAGGCAAGCTTTGTCTTTTGCACTCCAGATGGTTTGGAGAGGGACTATGATCATCTCAACTGTTACTTTTGCATGGTCCCTCCAGTTGGGAAAGGCATATCAAATAAGAAGAAATGAACTCTGGAGTATCCTGACATCCTCTTTGCAATATGTCCAGTACCCCATGGCGATGACCCATGAGTAACCAAAGTGCTAGAATTATTTTTAACTGTTTCCACTGATGAAAAAGAGGGCATTCGTGGTCTTGAACCACCAACCTCAAGCAACCCAGATTTTTAGCAGACTACATCCACTAAACCACATTTAATAACCCAAAGTAAACTGAATGATCTTGTAAGAGATCTGAATTTACCAAAGAACTAAGCAGAGATTTTGAGTTCCAGATTGCAACAGTGTAATTGTAATGTTGGTATTTTCCCACGGGAATTCTATGAACTATACTATTGGAGTAAACCTTGAAATAAGAGAGAAATACATGAGAATGTGAATACTCGTAGAAACACGAGATATACAAGCAGGGCTCAAACCAGGGTGTGAAACCCAGAACGAGGGTTATAAGGTTAGACCAAGGATCTAATCAGTTAGTATGTGTTTGGCAGCTGGCGTGAAAGGTTGTATCTGATAGACGCGTGAATGTGACACTGTATATTTGAAGATGTGAAGGAGATTCTGTTCCAGAAGAAGACAGCCAAACGACAGCTTGATGACAGCCTAAGCTAAAGTGGTAGCCGACAAGTTCCAACTGGTCAAGAACTCTAACGGCCATAATTAGAGCTGCTGGATCAACCATTGTGTGTGTTACGTGTGTGAGGAAACAGGACTGGAAAGTAACAAGTGTGGAAGGGAGTAGACGTCAAGTATTTGTTTGATAGTCCTCAAATCTTGCTGGACCTGTTAGCTAATAGCAGACACTGACTGGACCACATCACCTGTGAAAGTGTGATAAAGAATATAACTGGATTTCGTCTACTCATTACCAACTGTGTCTTTCATATGAAAAACCCCTAGCAACCAGTCAGCACCACAGAGGAGACAATATCCCAGGAATCTTCTGGCAGAAGATATTAGATTTTCTGTGTACAGGAACCGACAGAAGTCACTTAATGTATCTTTCTTTTAAAAAGTGACCTTCCTGCATGCCTAAATATTTTTTGGCTAATGGCGGCCCTCAAAAATCAATTACAGACTGAAAGAGTCAAGGCGTTTCATCAATTCATCTAAAACGAGTCCTAAAGCCGTTTTGTTGAATAATGGTAAAGTATTACCATCAATTCCAGATGGTCATGCATCTCACGAAAAGAATTTATGAAAACATCAAGTAGCTTTCGAAGTGTAAAACTACGATCATCATCACTGATCACTTTGCGGTGGTCGCTCTTTTGCTTGGACTACAGGATGGATATACCAAGTACTGCTGCTTTACAAAACCCAGCACATGTCGACATCAGCAAGATTGTGTTGCCACCCTTGCACATTAGGCTCTGTCTTATGAAAAACTTGGCCAAACCCATGAGGAAAGCAGATGATGCTTTTAAATATCTAATCAGAATATTTCCCAAACTGAGTGAAGCTAGAATAAGAGAGTGAGTATTTGTTGGTCCGCAAATTCAAAAACTTCTTTACATTGAGAAGTTTCTTTGCGTGTTGCATGGCAAGGAAAAAGCAGTATGGCTAGCATTGAAGTCATTAGTAGATAATTTTCTTGGAAACAACAGATCTGATAATTACGAGATTGTAGAAAATCTCCTTCTGAAGTATGAGAGTTTTTGCTGCAAGATGTCTTTGAGAATTCATTTTCCTCATTCTCCTCTAGATTTATTAACCTCAAACTGTGGAGCTGTCAGTGATGAGCTTGGTGAACGATTTCATCAGGACAATGCTGCAATGGAGATAGGGTATCAAGGCAATTAGAGCCCTTCAATGCTTGCTGATTACCGCTGGACTGTGACAAGAGACATCTCATCGATTGACTACAAGACGCAAGCAAAGAGAACTAGAACAGCCCCCGAATAATGACACACAAAAAAAAAGGTTCAAATGTTAAAACAATATAGGTGAACTTTAAACAATTTGTATTTATTGTTTCTATAATTTTATGTTGAAATATCTATTAACTGAGAATGCAACAACAATTTTTATAAAGCTAAAATAGAAAGACGTAACTGTTCACTCCAGGGATTTCAAAAAGCATACATTATTAGTATTACTGTAATGTAAATTTGAATTTAATTTTAAAAAACTACAGCCAATGGGTAAATTTCATTATGATATTTCAAATCAGCATGTCAAAGTCAATCAGAAATGATGTGTTTAAATTCTGGTAAACAAATTGTTTTTATTTAATTTGTTGACCAGTGTTATCTTTTTTTTTTAAAAATTTGTTGACCAGTGTTATCTTTTAATTTATAGATTTCATTGGCAACTACATCTGATGGTCAGTGAAAAGCAATATTCAATAGGGATAGGAGAATTTTTTAACAACTCGATTTCCTGTTTCTGTTGTCATTTTTCTTTACCATGTGTTGTTTTATTATGCATTCATCTATAGCACTGAGCTATTAACAAGGTTCGACACACATAATCATCAGTTTCAATTTGTTCCAAATGAATATTTGAAGAAAAAAAATGCAACATTAATTAGTTTTCAATAATTTTATTATTTTTATCTACTTTCTCATATACATCAACAGAAACATAATAAGGAGGAGATAATTTATTATTCGTCAGACTATGCATAATAAATATACATACCCAAAAAAAAATTTGGTTTTTCATATTTTTTTGGCCACAAGATATTCTGATAAGTATATCTTGGTTCAATTTTCATCACTCATTCCAAGGACTGCTCACTTTAACTGCAGTTTATTTTTGCCATCTGAAATGTGTCTGCGCTTAAAATATTAATTTCATGCATTATTTCTTGCAATAACTGCTTCAGTCTTTTATTCTGCATCTGCATTATTTGCAGCCAGCTCCACTACATGATCTGAATGAGCATACTCAGTAGAAGGACAACCTTTTGTTGACAAATTCATGACAATCTGTGTATATTAGTGAGGGGTGGGGAGGAAGAGAAGCAAATAGAGACACCAATAGAGGAGAGTCAGTGACAGAGATAAAGATAGAGGGGGCAGGTAGGGAGACCAATGTTCAAGGTCAGGGCCACAATCTGAAGGTTAAATTTAAGTAACCCGGTTAGCTACAAACCCTGCTAGAAGAAAAAGCACAAAGCTGTTTGACTTCAACTGTTGCCTGCTCCACTAGGAGGTGATGAATTATCGGTGTTTCCTTCAAAGTCAGAGAGAATCTGCCTTAAAGGCATGGTACCGATAGTCTGAACATAAATAAGCCACATTTTTAAAAACAAATGTGCGTAGAAAACTCAAAATTCTGGACAAGACCAAAGTCTAGAAGTGGACAAACAATCAGAACTTTCTTTTTTTTTTAAACGTCTCCAGAAACCATGAGTTGTAAAACCCTTTGGCTCGGTGCTATGGATATCGCAACCCTTCGGCCTTGATTCCATTGTAAATACCGTAAATCTGGGAGAAATGTGGCTTTTCTGCCTACCCCCGGGAGTGAACCCGGACCACAAGGAGTTTGTCACCCGGCCGCCGCGAAAGTCAGGTTGAACCAACTTGGCTAGAGAGCCGGGCATCAGAACTTTCCACTGTGGTTTCAGCTAGTGAACGCTAAGAAGAAGAATTACAGTGGCTGCACAACTCATCATGGGCAGGCACAAATAACTTTTAAAATGCTCCATTGTATGAGGACAAAATAAAATAAAAATGTCCAACTATATTTTTCAATGAAGTAACTTTCATTCATCACTCCCCAGTCATCTTTTGAGCATTCTGTGCTGACTGAAGAATCCTCAAAAAACAGATACTGAACTCACCATCCCCCATGCACTACTGAAAACTAAAATAACTGTTCAGATAAGGTTCGAGCCTATGACATCAAACCACAAACAGTGCAAATAAAACTGGTACTACCACAGAGTCAATGAGATTTCTCTAATTACTGTAGATGTATGAAAGGTAATATTTCATTTCGAGATATTTGGAGTAGAAATTCAGAAGTGTGCCTTTGACGTACTGTAAAGTGACAAACTGCCCTGAAAATGCACTCAGGCGAAAAATTGTCAAACTTTCATTAAGGTGACTCTGGCACAGTGCTAGTGATATGAGATACCAAACCAACAGCATGTTTATTTCCAGGGCTGCCCAGCTCGCTTCAAAAATGCAACTTTTATGAAGACCCATAGGGATCTTTGCTGGAGCTACAGAGCCTGTTCTTAGCCATTCTGTGAAGGAAGACCCAAGTTACATAGGATAAGACTAAGTGCAATGAAGTCAATCAATCCTCTTGACTTCAAACCTTAAATAGATATGTCTATGCTTCCACGTGTACATTTTTATTGATTTTGTAGAAAAAGAGATCAGGAACTGGTTTACAAAATGTATTAAATAAATGTGTCTAATATTTATATCTACTTGTAAAACAAAACAGTCAGTATTTAACTCCATCATGTCTCAGGCAAACATGTATTGTGTTTAATCAAAATTAGGCCAAAAGAAGGGAAACATAGGTAGGTAGGTACCGCACCAGGACATCACATAAGCGATAAACACCCGGTGACACAAAGTGCCACCGTGTGGATTAGGATTGCCCGTGGAGAGGTCCCAGAAACCCCTTTCAGCCGTTCAGTCATATCTATGGCTAGGCCATATTTATGGCCCGCTATATTCAGAGCCCCTGACAAAAGCCGGGGTGGGGCTTCAAAATAACACACACAAAAATGTATCCCACGGGGGGATAACTTATAAATTTAAAAAAAGGGAAATAATTCAGCTGCAGGCAGTTTTTCGAGAACAGCAACAGATAACATTTAAAAAAATAATTTTAAAGCAATCAAATTTCTGCAATAACCCCCTTATTTGATGTATTAATTTTGCTTATTCCGGCCACTAATTTTGACTTCAGTCAGAGTATGTGTGTCTTTACGTTGACCCCCACCACTGTGCTTTCCATGTTTCTGATAACTGACTTGATTACGAGACTGTCCATAATTTTGTGTGGGTACTGTCGACTGAGGATATGACGGATATGATGAGGCCTGTGGGGGATACCCTGGAAGTCTTGAAGGGGGGACAAGCTGAGATGCTGGTAAAGAAGAATGGCTTGCTGGTGAATAGAAACCACCATAGGACTGTGGAGGTGGTACAGAAGGTTGTGGATATGAATGCTGTGATGGTTGTTGTGGCACAGGAGGTGGTGGATAAGAAGAAGCAGAGAATGGTGTTGGGTTTGGTGGGGCAGCATATGGGTCATATGAAGCCCCTGTAGAAGTGACTACACTGGGAATAGAAGTATATGAATGTGGGTGAGAAAGTGATGGAGGTGCAGCATATTGAGTCTGAGGTGGGGGAGGATAGGAATATGTAATATCTGTCTGCTGAATAGCAGGTGGATACTGGGATGTATCTGTGGACTGTGAATGATGAGTATGATCTGAATATACATTTCCTGGTGGTGGCGGTGCATTGCCTGCCAGAATAGACTGAATGTTTTGTGAACCTTCCTGAGACATAAATGATGATGTATACATCTGTGAGGAAACATAAGGGTTATACGATGAGAAATCAATACCACCGCTGGATTCAGCTTTGGAACCACCAGGATGATTTCCTGACAGTGATGTTATATGCTGAGCCACTGGTATTGGTGCTCCTGTTTTAAAGAAAGATAATAGGTTTTAATAATAATTAAAAAACATTTATTCAAATTCATCCTACATTTCTTAAATGTTCACTTCATTCTGTAAGTATATTTCACTGCTTTAATGTCTTTATGCTATGTGTCAGTTAAACTGTACACTGTGTTTGCTCTATCTACAGGTTTACATCTTATATAACCTATCCAGAATAAAAAAAAGTAACATGCATTTCAATGATATTGACCACAGAGATAGTTGCAAAGGGTTTTATTTATGGCTCTGTTAATAATCAAGCAAAACATTTTTGGCTATGGTTTGCTAAGTTTGACAAGAATGTGATTCGGCAAAATATGAAAAATAAATGCACGTGTTGACTCCTAAAGGCAAAGAACAATGGCAAGAAAATCACAAACTAGATGCTAGAGGAACTGGAGATTTAAACCAGCTACTTGAAAAAAAAATCACAATAGCTCGCTGAAAGATTAAACCTCTTTCTACACATAGCCTACTAAACATGGTCTCACACACACACACACACACACACACACACACACACACACACAGTCATTCTTACTTATGTTAAAGTGAACCTACAACAATGGAATTTGAACAGAATTTATACACCAAAACATTTTATATCATATCAGTCAATGAATTTCAATCAACAAACAATGGATCAAATAATAAACACATAAACAGAGCAATGGCTTGGACAAGAACAAAGGAAACCTACAATAATACAAATTACTGCACATAATAATGAGCAAACAGCCACTAAATATTATTTAAAGAATTAACAACAGCTGGCTAAAAAAAAAAGAATAACAATAATGGTTGCCACCTAGTTGCATTCAGTAAATATACACGGGGGAACCTCCATGACAATGTATTCAAGCTTTGTCTCCCCTTTATCCCGCAGTGAAACACAGTAGGTCAACTCAACAATCTCATGCCAAGTCGTTCTATCCTTTGCCTTAGCATGCAACTCACCCAAGGTTTTCCCTATCTTCTTAACTTTATTCTCTAGCTCTCTTCTCCATGTGTTTTTGGTCAACCTTTATTTCTATACCTGCTTGAGTTCCAGTGAAAAGACATTCTGATTGTATTATTCTCAGATTTTCTAAATGTGTCCTATCTAACACCAGTGTCTTTTCATTACAACTTGGTCCACTGGAACTTGTTTAGTTCTCTCCCAAAGTTCAACATTAGTTATCCTACCACACCATTTAATTCCCTCAATTCTATGCAGGCATCAGTTAATGAATGTTTCTAGTTTATTGGTAACTGATTTAGTTGTTCTCCATGTTTCTGCTCTAGACAGCAGTTCTGATTTGATGTCAGGAGAAAAACAAAGAATTTTAAGTTTAGTATTAGTTGTTATTTTTTATTTAACCTCCACAAATTCCCTTGTGCTATGAAAGCTCCTCTTGCTTTCTGCATTTGTATTTTAATATTTCTATCGGTTCTCTCATCTATATCTTCACTGCTGCCCAAATAGGTGTATGACTCCACATCTTGGAGTGGAATATCATTAAGTGAAATTAGACAACTGCTTGATTTATTCTCATGATCTTTTCCTTACGGACTTGTAGACACAGTTGTGATCTTGCACCAAGTATATTTAATTTTTTATCATGCATCCACTTCCGTGAGTGGGATGGAAGATAAATATCATCAGCAAAGTCCAGGTCATGAAGCTGTTTTGTAAATGTCCACTGAATTCCATTCCTGGTGTTAACGGTTGCTGTATTCATAGTCCAGTCTATTGTCAGTAAAAATAGGACAGACGACAAAAGACATCCCAGTCACACACTTGTTCTTATTTCAATTTTATCCATTAGCTTTCCCTCATAAAGAACTTGACATATCATGTCTTTATAAGTTGCTTTTACTAAGTTAATAATTTTCTGTGGGATCCTATAGTGCCACATTAATTTCCAGAGATTCCCTATCAATACTGTCAAAAGCTTATTCATAATCTATGAATGCAATGTAAAGTGGTGAATTCAATTTGATGCTTTGCTCTGTTATTATGTGAAGTGCGGCTATCTGGTCAGTACAGCATCTGTTTGGCCAAAAACCTGCCCATTCACCCCTCAACCATTTATTAATAGCATCTTTTGGTCTTTCCAAAATATTCCTAATTATTTTTTTTCCAGGAACTAACAACAAAATAATCCTCTATAGTTTTTACAATCTCACAGATCACCTTTAAGGGCAGTTTCACAAGATATCCTTATTTCCAGTCTGCTATTTCTCTGGACCTCAGACTTCAGTGAAAAATATGTGCAGCAATTCTGCAAATTTGTTTGGCCTTAAAAGCTTCTGCAAGGATATCATCTGGACATGTAGTCTTTCCTTCCTTCAGAACATTGTTAGCTTTCTTAATTTCCTCTTTAGATGGTATTTCACAGTTGATTTCCAGCGGAATATCCGGAGGGACCCTTGGAGCGGGTCTCTTCAGAAGTGAATAGTAAAAGCAAAGAACCCTTTTCCGCGCCTTCAGGACCTTAACCCACGACACTCAGATCTGCAAGCGAGCGTCAAGCTTCCCTATTCAGAAGCACTTGAAAATTAAGGACATTCAGCCCATCTGTTCATTTAAGCTTTAGTGTTGGTGAGTTCTTTTTCTTGATTTTTTATTGACTCAGTTGGCTGACTATTACCCACTAATATCTAGAGGTTTGTTTTTGTACACAACAGCTTCAATATTGAGTAGTACTTCAAAATTCAAAACATTCAGCCCATCAGTCCGTGTCATCTTTAGTGTTGGTAGTACTTATTCTTGACTATTTTTGACTGATCCAGCTGGCTGACTATATTTATCCACTAATCTCCTGGTGTTGCTGTAAAAGCCTGTGAGGTTTTTTTTTGCTGCTGAGGTTCTTGTGCTAGGTCATCCCAATATTTTCCCTTTTTTTATCTGCCCTTATTCGCTGCTACCTTGCTTTTTAGCTTCTATGTATTTTTCATGAGCTTTAGCAGCTCTAGTTTCGCTATTGTCGAGGTCTAACTTCTGGCTTTTCCTTTTCCTGGACTATTTTAAGGGTTTCAGGTGTTATCCACGCATGTTTCTGTTCTTTTTCTCTTCATTCATCGGAGTGATGTAACTGCATCGTGCCTGTTTACAATAAAGTTGCAGGTGACATTTGCACCTTTTGACCGACACATTCAATTACATGGGTCATAACATAACCTGTGGTTGGGGTCTTGCATCAGGATCTGTAAAACCAGCATAAAGCCTGCTGCCGCCTGAGGTGAGGTATGTAGTATCTCCTTATACACATCACAAAAGTCTTAACTTTCCCTCACATTATATTGGTTTCTATAATTTTATTTATTATATCTTTTAAGTTTCAAGTTGACTTTAATTACTAACAGATCAGGGTTAGTAACTACATCAACACGCCTAAAAGCCCTAATATCGTACAGGAGTGGTCTAAATTTTGTGTTTGTCTGATCAATTTGATTGGTTGTCTTATTCTTATGCTAAACATTGAGTCCCGACTTGGTCAAAAAAAGGATTGTGCTTTTAAGGTCGCCACCGGTCCCCCGAAGTCTAAAAACTGATGTTTGTTATTTCCTGTTGAGTTTGTTTATGCTGTCACTCTCTGGTCTGTAATCTCCATTCTGCCTTCTCCACTTCAACTTGAAAGACTGCTTTAGCGCTGTTTTGGTTTCCTTGTAGTTGTGTGGTGGATGAGGTTGTGGAAGATTACTCCCAGCTTTTGCCAACTCATCTGCTCTCTCATTTCCTTGAATACCACAGTGGGCTGGTATCCACTGCAAAACCAGTTCTGCTTCCTTGGAGAGTAAGCCAATGTTGGTCCTTAGATCTGCAATTAGTTTATAAATGTCTTATGATCTAGTGATTGTCTTGTGTATTATTGTATGTGGGAAGATGCTTCCATTATTACCATATTTGTTATTACCAGAAAAATTGGTGAATAATTCATTTTAATTCTTTATTACTAGTCCAGTCCATGTGTTTCCATTATTCTAAAAGTATAATGTTTTATTTCTCCTAATACCTCTACTGTCCTTCCTACATCATACAAGGTTCTAATATTTCATATGACAATTATGGATATTTTTCCTGGGTGAAAAGAGGTATGTTTATGATCCAGACTCCTTTTAGCTTTTTTTTTTGGCACCTTGTCATCATTATTCTGTTAGAAAAGCAGCCTCCCATCTTGTCTGGCTGGGTATTTCTTGTTTCTCTGTTTTTCCATGGCTGGTTAGTTTTTGTGGCTACTGTTTTTAAGGATGAGGTAGCCAATCATTAACCCAACCCTATCCCTAGTCGTCCCTTGGTAGAGTGCAGTGTTACTAATCTGTGTTTTCCTGGAGGTAACATATGGGTGAATGTTTGACATGCTTCTGATAAAGTAAGCCAATCAAAATTCTGACTATTAACCAAAAGACTGCACTCAACATACCTGATACAGAAATCTGAGAACTGCTAGTAAGCTTCACATCCTTGTCTAGCTTGCCTACTTTGGATGCCGGATCTGTGTCTGTTGCATCCTATATCAAATAGCGCAATAAATATATAGTATATTAAATAAATGAATACCATAGCAAAACCAATGAATAATGCAAATATTCATTTAAAAAAATTGTAATATATCTAATTTCTTCAAAAATCCGTATTGGTCTAAGACAGTAGTATGGAGGAAAATCACCAACAGAACTGATCCAGAACAGCAAGGACTTAGCTCAGTGGACATATATGAGCTGGCAAAAGATAGGCCAGTTGAGCATGAGTTGGCTGAAGGCCTTTTCTTTAGTGGAGGAGGTGGCAGGGTGAAAGGGGGGGGGGGGGGGGGGGGGGGGGCAGAAGATTCTTTTTTAAATTCCCTGTGGTGGAACAAGATGTGACCACAATTTTTTATTTTAGCTAGATCAGCCAGATTCTGATTTTCAAAATTGTATCTGTAAAGCAAACAGCTAGAATCTACTAAACAACTTTCTTTAAATACAATAACTTTGCCTTATGCTTTATTTCTTCTACTGCAATGATACTTTAGTTAACATATGTAACTCACAGAAACTCACTTGTTGAACACTGATATGGCAGTCTGGTAAGACTAGACACTCTAAATTTTTCTAAAAGCATTAGATTAGCTTTACCAATTTATTCTTTACAATTACGGTAACCAGTCAATAGGTACTGCGTGCTTTCTTTTATTTGAAAATAGCAAAAATTACAATTTCCTGTATTAAATAAATGTTAAAGACTTCTTAAGAACGCTGGCTAAAATGTGTAAACAGTGCTATCCTTGTAGTTTTATGGGTCAATCATAATGCAAAGAAATGTGGATGGTACCACTCTGGCTGCCTTTACTTATCAGGTCATTCCTGGCACCCATTTTAGACTGGTACATACTGAGAACGTGAGTCATGTTAACAAAAACTAAAAATCCTGCCTTTATGGGGATCTGAGCACATGATTACCAGACTTGCAGGCAAGCACACCTGTAACTGCACCACAACCACTCACGAATCAAGCAGTTCCTTCATATATTATCATGTTGTGTCATTATGTCACATAGGGCTCGCTGTCTACTCTATTCCATTCTATCCTTTGAAATTGGTTCAATACTGTAGATGGCTGTTTGTGTGGTGGGAAAAGCTGTTAGCTATTCATATTTACTCATATTGTAGGCAAGTGCTGACTGTATTTTCTCCACCGTTGTTTCATTTTTATTATATGCCCCTGAATATAACTAAACATGTTTCTAGTTGTATGTTTGTTTCCCATGATGTCTGGTAGCTGAAAATCACTAAAATATATAAATGCAAAGGAAAAATAGTTACCTCTCTACTTCTTTTATTAAGTGTCCTATCTCCAGGTGGCGGTGGGGGAGGTGGTGGTGGTGATGAGCTCAACTGTTTAGTACCATTAACAGGACTTTGTGGTGGTGAGTCGCCTTCCATGGCTTTTTTTTGCTTACTTGAATAAAGATCCAGTACTTGGTGACAAATATCTAGGGGGAAAAAAGCCATGGCAGATGAGACTGCTACAAAAAAATACATGCTGACCTATTTAGTCACAAAGAAAGATAAACATATGAACACTGCTTAGTTAGTTAGTTAATCAACAGATAATCCTCCTTACACATTGGAAATTTCCAAACGCACTTACTTGGATCTCAAGTTACCCCCCCAGCATGTGTCGACTGATAACACCAGTTCTGTGTTGGTTTACTATTCTTCTTTGGCTACCTGTGTAGTGTTCCTGGCGACATCTCTTTTGACCTGAAGTTCTTGTAGTCTTCTGAGTGTCGATAATTCCCTGTCGTGTCCTGAATCATCTCATCCTGTCTCCTTGAATGGTCATATCCATTGCTTTTCCTGTACACTGTACCTAGCGTGGCCCAGCCAGCAAGCCAATCCACTAGTTTATTTCCTCTTACCCTAAAGGGTCCTGGCACCAAAATAAAACTGATTCTTATCAAAAGAGATTCCCTTGGCGACTCTAACCATTTTCTTCTAATCAATCCTGTCTCGAAGCAGAAGCACCATTCTCTTCTTTTACAGTCTTTCCTTGAACCAGAACCATGAAAACCCATGAACTGTGTATGTGTCCAACTGCCCGAGCAGGTTCGCAGCCCAACTTTTGGAAAAACAAAAATAGATCCACTGCCACTAAAAGATTCAGAACACTGACTCCCTACTGAAAAGACATGTTTTTTTTTTTCAAGCTCTCACTATTTGGATTTATTATCAAGTTTGTGCTAGTGAAAGGAATATGATTTTTTGTGCCGCCGTGTCAATTTTTCTGTCAGCTGTGCCGTGAAATATTGTGTTGTGCCTTATATATCATCACAAGATAAAAATGTTGGATTCTTTAAACAAAGAGTTTAACTAGCATTCGCATGCTGTACGGCGACAAAAATATCTGATGACTATGCAGCCACTTTTCATTGACTGTAAAAATTTCAATTCCGCTGTTGTAGATACTCGCTAGTTCCTTCAACTTCTTATCAGACAGCTCAGCAATATCTCCACAGCGGATGTCACCTGGACCGGGTGCACTGTTTTTTGTTTTGTGTGTGCCTGCCTTAACACAGCTCTGATCTCACCCACACACATACATACACAAACAATCATTCTTCTCCATGTCAGGTACACTACACATACCTGAAACATATGTTCTAGCAACTTGGTGCCATATTTATTATGTCTTTCTGGTCACACTGCTCGAGCTGAATGATGGATGCTCGGTTATTTTGCACTTTTTACTCAATCCCAGTGAGTCTGCACCACGTCCATTCTCTGATAAAGTCGCTCACTGCGCACAGGGGCAGGCAGCAGCCAATCTATCATCCAGCTCATTGCCAGATCCTGGCATACTTTGTCCAAAGTAACTACTATAAAGGTTATCTTGCTGGGTGGCACTGTCATCCAGTCCTCACCATCTTATCAAATGTACTCACATGTCTGACAGCAACTTCTGCCTGTGCCATCTCTCTTCAGCATGAGTACTTTGGAATATCACAACACCTTAGGTAAAGAGTGTCCTGCCCTCTTCGACTTTAAGGTATATTTCTGGTATATGCTGTTTAAAGTCCAGAATAACTCACAGAGTGTTTTTTGCATGCATTCCAACTTCTCTGTCTTGCTGTGAGATCATGTGAGCAGTCTCAGACCATACTCCATTACTAAAATAATTAGCTGCTAATACAGCAGAAATCAATTAGAAATCTGGCCCATAGCTGCCGATTCTATACACTTCAAAACATTTGGTACCTTTTTTGATGATATTTAACACTACCATTTCAACTACAGTTGCCAAAAGTTATTCCAAGATATTCTAGTGAATTATGTTTTTGTGAACTGATCCTACTGCCATTTACTGTGATTTCTGGGTTCAACGCTAAAAATTTTATCATTTAACAAGATACAGGTATGAATCAAAGGTGACACATATAAGAGCAGCATTACATTGGGCAGCAAATGTACAGAATGTTATACTGGTATGGCAGAACTGAAGTACAACAACTGATATAGGAAAATGGTGAAATGACGCAACAGTGTACACCGATCATTCTGTGCACTATGGTGAGAAATTTGACTAGGGTTTTTCAGCATTTTGTGGCAGAGCAAAAGTAGCCCATAGAACTACAACCTCAAGTATAAGGAAAGAGGTGGAGGCGAGGTGATGATGGCATTTGAGACAGGTGGTAACAGTTACCTGAGCAACCAAAGTGTCTTTTTTTTTAGGCTGCAGTGCTTGATTTCAAAATGGACAAGTGTTTCATAAGTGGACAGCAAAAACTTCTTTACTGCAAGATATGCTATGTGGGTTATGTGAGAGTGTTTTTCGATAGATGAGCTAATACACTGGATGCAAAAGCAATGCACAAATTTCAAGATTACTTTGTTGTTTCTAGGGTAAACTGAAAACTAAAATTTTTATATTTCAAAAATCTATATAACCTCTGCATCCCTGATTTTCTCTACAAATATAATTAGAATAATACCTTCCATCAATTCCATTGACATTCCTTCTATGAAATCCTCCCACCATTTACTTTTATTATTTTCTCTACCAGTCCAGTCAGATGGTTCAAATTTTGTAAGGCGTGAAGCAAGATACATAAGAGACACTGCTACAATTTCAGGTTCCCACTGCAAGCACAGAGTGGTACACAAGCTGTGGAAGACAAGAAAAAGAGCATTCTCATAAAACTAACTTTAATATTAATAGTAGGTAAAATAATTTGTTACGCCTAAGGCGCATTGGACATATGCGAAGAGCACCCATATTTTACAGACCAATCGGCACTAGGTGGGTAATGTGGTCAGCATTTTGCAGGACAGCCATCCTGGTACCAATTTAAGGCTTGGTCAACCTGTGACGCCCCATACCATGATAAAAATCTACGCAGCCATCAGTGGGTTTCGATCGCGGCACGTTGGAATTACGAGTCGGACTCGCAATGCCTAAGCCACGGATGCCACTATTTTAATATTAAAGTATGATACTTTTAGAAAATTAGGAATCATCAAAAGCTTTGTACATCCAAAACTGTCCTGGCAGTGCGGACGCACAAAACAAAAAGGCAACAGTAAATATATGCTCAAGAAACTATTGGAGAAAGGGGGGAGGGTCATTTCCCATCCAGTTACCATTCCTTCAAAAACAATCCCAGAAATTATTTTGAAAAATTTGTATCCATTTTGATGAAACTGTGTCAACCCCAGTTCAACAATGGTTGCAATGATTCATCCTGCTTATGATGAGGACTGAATCGGACCAATGTCATAGAAGGGATGGGTGAAATGCAGAAATGCTACAGGGAGACATCTGTTTAAATGGGAGATTAACGTTAAACAAATGTACAATCTTCATCAGAGGCCAAGTGCAGGAGATCAATTACATTTCAATCAAAATTGTGAAGATGGCAAAAAATTTGATCTGATCAAATTTTAGGTACATTTTTAATCTCAGAACAAGAACAGTGCTTTTATAGCCACACACACAGACATATATATTTTTATTTTTAACATCACCTGTCATTAATAAATGTCCATGCCATCTGAGCCATTTTCTGTGTCTTTTCCTTATCGCCTGTTTCAATTTAAAAGCAAAAGATATTTAACTTGCAATTTAGCTGAACATTTTTCATCAACTCATCAGCATATATATGCATGTCTCGCTAGTATTTTCAATAAGACAGTGTAGGCACCCCTTTGCTACCTTAACTATGAGGGCAAAAAAAAAAGAAAATATCATTTTCTGAACATAATACCCCAACTGTAATGAATGTTATAACATAATACGAATTAGAACAGGCATGGAAAGAAAAGAGAGCAGCAGTTAAACAATTACAGCAAGTGCGAAAGTCATCTCAAAGTTACAAGAGGTAGAGAAGGCAGAAAAGATTGAAAAAACAAAATTTAAGGGGTGTGCAGCAGATGCAAAAAAGACTAAATGGGAAATTTGAACAAAGAAGACACAAACAATAGACTGCACAATTTATTGCCTGGCATATTTCGCTGTATCTCGTCAGGTGCATACTACAGTAACAAGTGATAAAAAATGAAGCAACTACCTGAATCCTAGAAACTGAAACACAAATTCGAGTACATTCTACACTGTCTGTTTCACCAAGGTAACCTTAAGGAAACTACCGTTTCTTTCTGCCTATCTGGTTTCAACCGGCTGATAGCGGAAGCTTCCGCATATCGGAGTAATCTACGGTTGGCTGAATTGTAAATAATTCGAAATGCATCATCCCTGTTGATGATGTGCCCGTTATTTAGAATATGGCACGCAATTGCTGATGATGGATTTTGTCGACCAGTCACCTGATTGGTTGTTGCTGAGGTGTTAGTGTTCTTCATTGCTTTTACCACCCATAGTGAAATATGTTCAGCAACCCGCTTCTCCAGTCGTCGATCAGTTCTGCCCACATATGCAGCATTACAGGTGCATTAAAATTGGTATATGCAGTTAGATCCTAAAGACCAGTGGAAATTGCTAGAAGCCTTCGTAAAAAATCCCAGCCTTTAACGGGGACCTCCAGTGCTGGAGACAGACACCATGTCTCGAGACCACCTATCAGTGACAAATTATGGACTTGGAATGCTTACCACTAGGGCTGTACCGAATATTCGCTTTGTATATTCGGGGCCGAATAGTGGACCTATTGACTATTTGATATTTGGCCGAATAGTTGCGGTCGGGCCAAATACAAATAGTAGTTACCTTACACCCGCTTCTGCATACACGGCCTTAATACTGACAACATGGAACGAATGGTTTTGTTGAAAGCTAATGCAGCTTTTCTGCATTAACTAGCTGTCAGTGACAATTTCCAAGTTTAGTTACTTGTTATAATACTTAGGATTCTTTCATTCCTAGTTATCAGTTACCACAGACTGACTAAAGGATGCAAAATGTAACATGTTTTTAAATGTTTACAATTCTGTACGAATACTAACTAGACATGGAAGAATAAAAACTCCGGCCACATCCAAGTCGATAATATGAAAATGAAACAAACGAAAACATATAAGTACTTGGGTGCAAACTTCAACTGCTCCAACATGCCGAGAGGAGAAATACAATCTTGAATACAATCTAGAAATAAAGTATACTATGCCCTTCAACATCTGCTAAAGTCAAAGTGTCTATCTCGCAACACCAAGGTCAAAATATATAAAACGTTGATAAGACCAGTCGTTACATGGCTCTGAAACTTGAAGCAGAAATTAAAAAAATGAGGCCTTATTACAGGTTTTCGAAAACAGTCTTGTGAGAAGCAACAACTTAACATATAATCTGTTTAAATCACTAATGATCACTGGCATCATGAGAGCTTACAGACTAAAATGGTTGGGGCATTTTGAAAGAATGTCAGGTGACAAAGTAAAAACTGTATACACCCGAGAGGGGAATGGGCGTAGACAGAAAAAAAAATGTTCGAGAGATAATGTCCAGCTAGACCTGCAAACAACTTATGTCACAAATTGTGAAGAGAAGGCCAACCAGAGAGATGAATGGAGACGAGTGTTATCTGCAGCAGTAAACCTCAAGGGCTCAAAATGCTAAAGAAGAAGATGAATATTCTGTGCTACTTTTTGTGAAGTAAAAGTTCAGCGTACATTTGACATTATGAAAGTGTTTCTTTTTTTTTTTTAGATATATTTTATGCACTATACACTATTCGTATTCGGCCGAATAGTTGGTCCCATTATTCGTATTCGGCCGAATAGTAAAAATCACTATTCGGTACAGCCCTATTTACCACATCAAAGTGTCAGCTGATAAAACTAGAACGCTTACAGAATAAAGCCACTGAGGGTAATTCAGGGATGTACAAGAGATACCCCTGGCAGTATGTATGCGATATATACTTGCACTGCTGACTAGTACAGATAGGCTCAAAGGGCTGCAAGCTAAGTCATATCTTAGAGTAGCTGCAGATAAGAAGCACCTCCTGCATGAAGCCCTGGAGAGAGCTAAGGGTGACAGACTGAAAAGAGAAGGTCTTGAATAGAGCAAACTGAAGGCACAATTAGATATGTGTGTAGGGGTATAATAATTGGGCGAGGAGAGGGGTGGGTTAGAATGTCCTAGCAAAAGTCGGACTTGTATAGGGCTCTGATCACACTGGTGCAGGGACTGGCCAGCGGATTCTGCATAATCAGTAGTTCAACACATGATTTGTGACAATTCTCGCCAGGTGATTTGATAATCTATACAGATGGCTCTGTGTGGAGAGGCAGACGAAGCCCATGGGGTTTCTTAGCAAAAGTGAATAGATATCGCTTAGTGCGCCAAAGCCTGGCATATGACACATCTAGTTTGAGAATTGAGGTGGAGCCGTCACTGTATCCTTTTGCTGACTTGAGAATCAGCTGTACACATAGGTTGTATCTGTAACCGACTCACAGAGCATGTTGAGAATATATATATATGTATACTTAGTGAAGAGTAGCAAGCATCGATTCAAAGTAATGAACAGGCAGACAGGCAGGTTCTGCACAACCTGGTGGTAAATTAATGCATGACACGCTAGATACTGTGAGGGCCTTAGCGAGTGAACAGGGCTTATGCACAGATGGATTATGATCTGAAGAGTATTGTACTGAGGAGTGACCAAGGGATCTGGTTTACAATCAGCACTCAGAGAAAGATGAGATGGATAAACCATCAGATGGCTATTGGAACTACTGGAATTATAGCTCTGTACTTGCTGCTGAAGATGGGGATGGAGCAATGCTTAAAAAGAACATGCAAGTAACTTTGAACAGTACCTTGAGAGCAATGCAGGACTAGGGCAAAAGATCTACTTCGAACGAACGAACAAACTATTTTCAGCTCTTGAAGGTATATATCTATATAATTTAACCATTACTTTGCATCTTTTGAAGCAGAGAATGAGAATCACACTAATGGAAACTCCATGTATCGAGTTTCAATTAACCACTCTGCCTCGAGTGATAGTATGTAAACATTGCAATCTGTGCAGTTATTTTTTCACAAGATATCTCATCTGATTCTAGCACCAGATACAAAATGGAAGAAGCAAAAAGCCAACAATGTGCAGTGAGGATGATCCTTCGACTAACATTCTCCTGCCATAGTAAAGGTGTTCCAGTTCTGTAGTGAGCAAATTCCTGTAGTCCTCCACGTCAGCATTGTCAACTTTCACAAGCTCACATGACGGTCTCTTTAATTCTGAGAACAGAACATATCAAATTTACCACACAGGCCTGCAGTGCAAGATCTGAGACACAAACATCAATGTCATGCCTGGGTATGATTTTTTTCACACCAATCATTGTTGATCCAACTGTTCTTTTTATTTTGCTGCTATTGTTATCCTTCTTGTTTAATATTAACATGTATAAAAATAACAAAAGAAAACATTGAAAATTCAAGCAGCAATCCACACTAAGCAGAGACGGTGTAAGTAACTTTCTCACCCCTTATAACGGAATTTATTTTTTTAAGAAGTGTTTTAGAGAGAGAACAACATGACATTTAGCATCCTTTTGAATGTCTTGTGTAATCTGAGTGACAACCACAATCAAACACAAGAAAGATATGCTGAATTAACAATCATTTTGATAAGCAGATGCAAGATATTTACCCTTGAAGTTCTTTGCAAATTTAAGCATACAGCCATATGGATGTTCTACTTGAAGATCAAACTTAATAGTTTTGAGTAGAATTCTTTCCATAGTCATAACTTCTTCCTGAAAAAAACAGTAACCAATTTTAAATACAAAAATTTAAGAAAAACACCTATAAACAATGATTCAAACATTATTATCAGAAAAATTATATTGCTAGTCATTTAATATTATTCTAAAGCATACAAGAATGTTTTAATTTGGGCTGCAACTTTTTACTGGAAGTCTTTCAAAATAATGTAATAAAAAGTGATTAGTAAAAACTTTGATAGTTACCCTAGGATCTTCTCCAAATCTTGAAAATGAATTTGCTGAAAGAAGGCTCTGAGCAATTTTTATGATATCTTTACATTTCTTAGGTGTTTCCTCCACTTTGCCTGCCAAAAATAGGCAACAAGCTGCTGTAACCTAGAAACATTAACAAATGCAGAACATGAAATGATAATTACCAAGAAAAAGCAGAAGAATCAGTGCAATTTAAAGGAAATTGGTTACAGCTTAACTCTGAATATTGGTTGTATTTTTTTTTTTTTCCTAATATGAATAAAAGACAACCAACTAGTGCATAAAGGATTCTGGATCAACTCATATGTAAATAATTAAGCGCAAGTATTAATAAATCTCTAGATAAGAAATTCTTTAACTGTATCAGAATCTCTATGGCAAAGTGGTCAAGCAGTTGGCCCCCCCCCCCCCCACTCCAAAGCTAAGAGTTTGTTTGGCTGCAGCGTCATTTAGATCACAAGTGCAATTTTTAAGGTGATTCTGGGGACTTTTGCTGGAGCTACGAAGCTCGTACTTTTTTGTTCAGTGCTCTCTGCAAGCAGGTAGCCATTTTGCGGACAGGGACTGAGCCATTTGGGATAAACCTGATGAAATGAAATATTGTCATTTAACTTTATCAAAATTTTCAACTCAGAAAAACTGCCAATGGGGCAGTTCAATTGATATGACAATCCCCCGTGTGGGTTCCGGGGCCCCATTGTCGGGAAAACAAGAATAGACCCACTGCCTCCCCAAAAGCATGTCGTAAGAGTCGACTAATTGGGGAGCTTCCTTTGAAGTCAGAGTGCATCTGCCGGAGAGGCAAGGAACCAACAGTCTGTATTCAAAAGAATGAGATCTGTAAAACTGATGCACATGCAACACTCAGGTTCTGGAACAGGACTGCAGTTCAGTAGTGGACGAGCAACCAGAACTTTCCGCCAGAGTATACAGCTGGTGAAGAAGAAGAAGAAGAAGATATGACAATTTCTGGGGATCAATGTTCATCGCATGCAAATATTTAGAGGGCATTCACGATTCAAAACTAGAGTAGAAAATACAAAAGATGGGAGCTCAGAATACTGAAGAAATTTTTTAATCTACATTACTATCCAATACATGTGTATGACTCCACATCTTGGAGTTAGATCTGTTAACCCCTCTTTCACCCAGTTTTATTAAACTAGGGGGTCTCCGTGGCAAAGTTGTCAAGCTGTTTGCCTCGTCCTCTGAAGGCCGTAGGTTGGTTAAACAGCTGCACGTTTGAGTTCCCAAGTGCAATTTTTATAGAGATCTCTAGGGATCGTCGCGGAAGCTACAGAGTTTGAGCTCTGTGTGGTGATCTCGGCAGGCAGCTAGCTGTTCTGCGGAGAGAGACTGAGCCACAAAGGATAAAATCTGCTGCAATGAAGTCGATCCTCTCGACTTTAAAACTTAACTTTAACTTTATTACACTATCTCAGCAATATATATACGCAGAAAATATAATGAGAAATGTCAAAAATGACCAGACTTGTGACAGTTATGATCTGCTAAAAACTGGTGGAGACCCTATTCCAGAAATTCGCTGCGCAGATGACACAGTCCTTCGAACAACGTAAAGGGAATAGAAAATTCAATATTGTCTGTCCAAAAGCACAGTGAAGATCAACATCTGTTCTTGAATTTAAAGAAAACGAATATAATGTCCACAGATAAAACTGGTTGTCACCCAAAAATAACAATAAATGATGAAGAAATTGAAAATGTCACAAACTTTTAATATCTAGGCTCTTTAATAAACAGCAATAGAGACTATTTGACAGAAATTAAAAGAAGGATGGCCACAGATTGAACAACCTTAAAAGTCTATGGTTGAGCACCAACGAGGAGAATCAAAATTAAAATTTTGAGGGCATGCATCTTTCCTGTGGCTACATACGGATATGAGTTGTGGACTAACTCTCAGTCCTTAAGAAAGAGAATAGGGACTTTTGAGCTGAAATGCTATAGGAAGATTCTCAGAATATCTTGGACAAAGAAGAGGAGAAATAATGACATCTTGAAAGATCTCAACATTAAGGAAGATTGGCTAAAAAACAGCATCCTGTCTCGGAAGCTGAAATATTTTAGTCATATCAAGCGCCACGACGGACTGGAAAAAATTATAGCACAAGGCATGGTACCAGGAGGGCCGACTGACACGAAGATGGGCATAGGATATAAGTAACTCCTTGAGTACATGAGGCGGGAGAACTGGCGAGAGACCGTGTTTCTTTGAGGCAGACCGTGATGAGGGCGACTTTCTGCAAAGGACCTGCTACATGATGATGATCTCCGCAACTGTCATTTTTAAATCCTAGTCAATAATTTTCTTCACTTTTCTACATAGCTTTTGTTGTATTCTAAGGACTATTTCCCAGATGTGTTTAAAGCAACATCTGAGTTGCCAAATTCCAAACCGTCGACATCACTCTTTGAAATAGAATTATACAAAGGAGAAAATCAAGAAACACCAGTTCCATTTCCCTGTTTTATTTCTCCAGGTATTTTCTAACGTAACATTATAAATCAGTGTTCTGAGAAATCACTGGAGCAGCTGTTCTGGTTATACTTTAGCAGCAAGAGAACGCCTTTGATAGGTGCCTCCCCCCCCCTTTTTTTTTCCCTTCCTCTTAATACTACAGACATCAAGTGAAGAGCTTTCAGAGTGCCAAGTTTACACTTTCTCTCATAACAGAATTCCAGTTTTTGGAATGAATAAGCAATCTTAAATCAGTGATAAAAGGTAAAGGTAGCCCAATTGTGTATACTACCACTGGGGCATGAAGTATATGGTCCTCATAGTCTAAGCCCTAAGATAATGAAATTCTATTATTCTAATTTTTCCTTCTGAGCTGAGTTAATTCACGAACCAACATCACAACAGTCAAGGCATTCCCATAAGCCCTCCATCGCCATCTTCTGCAGCCGGCGCAGAGTTCCAATACTAATGGTTCCATATGCATTCTGATTAAACGTCTATTTTGCCTTTCCTCTGAGTCTCGGGCATCGGCCTCAACCCCTCAACACTCCCCGATGCACCAATCTCACCAGACTGTGGTGATCCATCAGCTCCTTCAAACTGTACACGCTCTCCCAGAAGGCCTTACAGGTCTGCCTTTTTATGCATCAGTATTCATCTAAGCTGTGCACAGCCAGCCAGTATGCCTGTTTATGTTCCAACACGGCGGCGTATCCCAGAGAAAAAAATCCAGACAACTTCACCCGTCCTCCACAGTGAAGCATGCCACTCTGCACGAGGAATGAGTGTCTTGATCTTCCTCAGCATGTTTTCTGAGTCAGTTACAATCAGTGTGTGTGTGTGCCCGCACGTGTGTTCTCTCTAGCCAGCAGAAAGCTGCAGTGACCACCTCCACTCTTAAGCTGGATGTTGTAGTGTATCATATGCTAGGATCTCCTGCACCAAACGTAGACCATTAACTTTTGCTAAGAAGCCCCAAGCACTTCTTTTGCTTCTTGACACTGTGCGGTCTGTGTAAAAAATCCAATCCTCTGAGCTAGCATTATCTTGAATTAATTGCTTAATTTTCACCTCTGCGGCACCTGCTGGCCAGTCTCTGCATTCCTAGCTCAATGTGATTATGACCCTTCACAAGTCTGACCATTCAACTGGCATTTTGACCCACTCCTCTCCTCGCCTAATGTTCTCTTTCTAAGATAATTCACAGAAAATTATGCAATTTGTCTCACACATTTTATGAGACTGGCTTGACCCCAAACCATACCGATGAAATGACTTGGCACAATAAGTAGATATTTTAAAAAATTACCATTAATAAATGTCCATACATCTTCACTAGGTGTTTTCAAAAAATAGTTTCAATTCAAATGAAATATAAGAAACTGTATCATAATCATCAAGTGCCTTGCCGACTGGCGTGGGTAATCATGCCTCTTCACAACAGCGTGTATCAGTTCATGTGTATACATCCCTCCATGCCCAGACAAGAAGTTGTCAAGAATCTTCTCCCGCTATCTTCCTGTCACTCTTTCCAGTGGTCAACAAAATCATCCTTTTCCCTCTTCTCATAACATGACCAAAGATAATGACTGTCTGTGATGTTTGCAAAATGCTGTCTTCGAGCACTCTCTTTCAAAACATCTGGGCTGCTCTTCAAGGAATTCTAAGGATTCTTCTGTAAAACCACATCTTCTAGGCCTCAAGAAATTGTTCTGCTTGTTTATTAATAGTATGTTTAATCTGGCTCTATCTGCAACAATTCTTTTCCCAAACTTGAATGACATGGATTTATTGCACGAAAGGTTTTTAATTTTATCAAACACTGTTTTAGCCTGTCCTATTCTGTTCTTTATCTCTGTGATTCATCTTCTATTGGATGTGCCTAGGTACTTAAATTTCTCTACTTGGCCTAAAATACCACATTTGACTTTTATGATACATTTAGGTATTATGCTTAACTTGGATTTCACCATTACTTTTATCTTCGCATCATTCAAACTGCAGCCTATTTTATCAATTTCTACCACCACCATATGTATCAATTCCTGTGGTTCTTTCTGTCTTGTCATTATCAAAATGGTGTCATCATATTGTTTCTGTTATGACCACCAACCACAATTCCTGGCATATCCATGACGGATCACATATATTCACTGAATAATAAAAACAAATCAGGTTATAGTACACATCCTTGTTGTACTCCCCTCTTTAAGTTCTGAAATGGTTATTAATTCTTATAGCAGCTGGTTGCTACCAATATATACGTTTATAATTCATAAACCTTTTCCACCAATGTTTAACTTTTCTAACAGTTTGATTATATCTTCATGTTCCACACAATCAAATGCTCTCGTATAGTCAATGAAGCATAAGTAAGGATCTTTGTTTACTTCTGTAGCTCTTTTTAAAAGAAAGATAGACTGGCCGGTTCTGCACCACTTGGTGGTGAATTGATGTATGACAAGCGAAATATTGAGATGGCCCTCTGGGAGTGAGTGAACAGCGCGGAAGCGCAAAACAGATCATTACGGTCTGAGGAGAATGGCGCTGCTAAGAACTACCAGGGTATCTAGCCAAAGCTTAACGGAAGGGCAAAATGGATACACAATCAGACAGTTACTGGTGCTATCAGAATTAAAACTCTTCATTTGATGCTGAAGATGTGGACAGAGCGCTTATGGGGGTGGCTTGAGTGCCATGATGTTAATTTCTAATTCAATGTTCTTTCTAAAAGAATACTGAGAACTCAAATGTCATTGTTTGTACCTTTTTTTCCCCCCACAAATTCACTCTGTTGTTCACTAATTTGTGGTTTAAATCTTGTTTCTTATTCTTCTCATAATTATTCTTTGTGACATTTTTGTCACGATATTGGTACGATAGTCTTCACATTTTAAAGTGCCTGGTTTCTTTAGCAGAGCAATAAATATAGATTTTAGTAGGTCATCATGAATGTACCCACTATAATAAATGTCATAAAACAGTTGTTATTATTTTATTTCCAAAATATCCCAAAGCTTCAGTTGTTACTAACATAATGCTGTCTGGCCCAGGTACCTTTCTTCATGTGATGCAATGCATCCTCAACTTCTGCAGGCAGTCATATTGGAGGGGGGCGGGAGGGGGGCTCACTGTTGTCTTGCAAATATACTTATGGTCTATTATCATCATACAGATTACCTAAATACTCTGTCCATCTTTTAATAATGTCACTTAATATTTCACCTTCTTTCAATTTTAAACACCCGAGCAACTCTTCTTCCCTGTTAATATACTTATCTGTTGGTACATGGAATGTGAGTCTTTCCAATTATTTTTCCCAATCTCTGTACACACCTGATTTAGCCTTCTTATGCATACTAAAATATTATTTTATATTATTCTTCTGTCTTCTTTCAACCATCATCTAAAGAATTTTATTTGTCATTCATTTCTTTTTTGTGACTCTATGCGTAGGAGGAATAAGCTCTTTCAATGGTTGCTGAATTACCTTGTACAGCATATCCCACTGTTCATCAAGGAATTATATAACTGTTAAAAATGCTGTATACTTACGTAACGGTAAAACTCCTTAAATGAATGAAACATGTAGAAGCGATGAAAGTAAACAACTCCAGTAGCACAGGTATCATACAATCTTTGCTCCAGTTAAGGCATTTGTAGGAAAATTATTACAACCATAATACACTTACATGAATAATCTGGAAAGTTAACATGAACTATATCTTTAAATTAGGGCTGTACCCAAAAGTGATTTTCACTATTTGGCCAAATACGAATAACGGGACCAACTATTTGGCCGAATACGAATAGTGTATCATCCTCATCAGGTGCCTTGCCGACTGGCGTAGGAGATAATGCCTCGCCACAATCTAGGATCTCCTGCAGCATGTATTAGTTCAAGTGCTGACACACCTCCATGCCATGCAACAAGACTGTCAAGAATCTTCTCTCGTTGTCTTCCTCTACCCCTACTTCCACAGATCTTTCTAGTGGTCACCACGTTCTATTTCCCCTCTTCTGATGTCTGTGATGAGTTTTCTTCGGGCTCCCGCCTCTTTCAAAACCTCTTGGTTGCTTTTTTTTGGCTGTCCAAGGTATTTTAAGCATTGTTTTGTAAAACCACATCTCAGAGGCCTCAAGAAATTGTTTATTTTTAGCATGCTGCGGTTGGCATTTTATGCAGTATGATTCACAAGGGAAACAACTTTTTTCGACAGTGGCAAGGAAAGACAATTTAAATTTCAACTTTTAAGTATCTTCATGCCTTATTTAATAATGTCACAATTTATGGCCGACTTGTCTTGATTTTCGCCGCGGCACCCAGTGTAAGAACCTCTGCTGTAATGGCTTGGTCGAGTCAGCAGGCAAACACCTTGCCAGCTGCTGTACCACACAACCAGGTCGCAGTTCCCCCCGCTACGACAGACTTAGGCAACAGCAACTACAGTACTGTGTTAATGAGAGTTATTTCAGTGCATCACAGTGTATGCAGAAAGGGGTGTAATGTAACCACTATTCGTATTCGGTCTGACCGCAAGTATTCGGCCAAATATCATATAGTTATTAGATCCACTATTCGGCCCCGAAGCGAATATTCGGGACAGCCCTACTTTAAATTATAGTATGTTGCTTATGTAGAACATTACATAAAAGTGAAAGGATACAGTCCCATTTTTGTACCAGCATCAATAATAAACCGAGCACCTTCCCTTCTGTATCTGTTTTCCGTTGCAGTGTCAATACCATCACGAAATGATGGAGAGTTTTTAATCTCTTTCCTCTCAAAATACCAGCAAGGCATGGTGTTAAATATTTCTGACCTGCAACACTGTATATATTTCACAACATTAATTAATGACCATTAGATATGCATATATTTAACATTATAGGAAACTTAATTTTGTACTTGCTTCTATACCCTTCTTGAATTATACTTCTCACTCCTTTCTTGAAAATATACTTTTCAAGTTCAGGAGGGTGGTATATTTATCCATTCTCGGTCTGGCACCAGCCTCTATGATGCTCATAGGCTGAAATCTAAAACCAGGATAAGGAAGGAAACAGATGAAGCAGCAATTACCTGATATAGCAGAATCTTAAATGTTTACTATCTGCATAAGTACATGCAAGTTGTGACTTTGGACAATCTGCAAAAAAAAAAAAAAGATAAAGATTATGATGCCAGGTGCTAGTGACAGACTTGCAGTCTACATTGATGGTGAAGAGTTGGAGATTTTTTATCATTTCTGGGATCCACATTGAATAACAAACTATCCCTGGAACAAGAAACCAACATCAGGCATCAACAAAAATAAGCAGATAAACGAAAAGAGCTTGCGAGAACAGAAAGCTCACCATTAAAACAAAATCTCTTGTTTATCAGGCTTATGTTCTCAGCACTATTCTTTGCAGCAATGAAACTTGGTCGAGTTATATGTACCAGGTTAAAACCAGCTAAATAGCATTCACATGCGATGCCTAAGAAGATTACTTGGCTTTATAGGGGCAAGACTAGATCATAAACACTAAAGGATTGGAAAGAGCAGGTATCATAACAATTTTCCTAATGCTCAGTCTCCGAAGGCGAACGTGGCTGCATCATATTTGCAGAATGGAGGATGGCAGAGTCTATGACGAATTACAGATGTGTAAAAGATGTAGAGATTGGCCTTTACTACAACATAAAGCTGTGGCAAGTGGGACATGAATGATTAAGTACTGAGGTATATTTGTCAGAACAAAATGCTATGGGCTGTACTTCATGCAAGGTGTGAGGTTCAGAAAGGGGATAAGGAAGGAAAAAAAATAATGCAAACAGGTTCAGAGCTGAGTGTCTAAGAAGAAGCACACTAAACACATCCGATGGCAACAATGGTCCAGAAATCCCATGCTTGACTACAGAAGACTTTTATTAAAGCAGGCAGATCTTGCTTATCACACTCACCATCACAGTGGGCTGTAATTTCAATGTCTCCCCAGAGCACAGTATAACTAACACTTAAAACTGCATAGACAGAAGGGTGCCAAAACAACAAACAAAAGTAGTGCACCAATATGAGACAGTCTTATTAACTGTTACACAGCAATGTTAATATCCTCAAAATTCTTGAGTGTTCAACAGAAATGTGCAAGTACGAGTCAGCACTAGGATTCCCTCAAACATCACTTTATTGTCATTGGCTGGCACTATGCCAATCATCAGAGTGCTAAATCCCTGTTTAAGAGAAAAAAAAATCGCTTTTGACACTGAGATATCTCTGAAAACCATGTAGGTGTAACAAATTAATACTTTATTTTGACCTTTGGAGTAGGAATTGAAATGTGTGCCTTTGGCATGAAGTGACAAATATCAGCCCCGAAAATGTACAGGGTATATATACATTTGGAGTTATCAATAATCATTAACAGAGTGAAACATCAAATGGAAAACATTTCAAATAAACAACTTTCAAGTCAGAGTGAGGGGAAGGTGTTGAAGTACAAATTATATAATACACTGAAATAACGCAGTCACGAAAATATACATTGCACAATTTACTGCCTGGCATATTTCTCTGTATCTCTTCAGGTGCATTATTAAACAGCTAAATCAACACACAGTGAAGCATAACAATTTATAATTTTACCTGAAATTAAACAAAAATTTAAATAAAATAAAAAACATTCACTGTCAAGTTAGGCTGTTCATCTCTCTACCGGAAATTCAAGATTAACCAAGGGATTGTCATGTACCTTTACATTTTATAGTGATCTTTTTGTTTACATAAAACAGTTTTATTTATATGGCCTCGGCTTATTTTTGTAAACATCTATTCAATGTGTGTGTTAGATACCTGCTTACTGCCGTCAAGGCAAACAGCTCGTTGGCAGCTTAACGACAGACACCTCAAACCCTAAACACAACTGAACCTTCACCATCAGAGCATACACATTAGCCTTTAATATAATTTATAACACGCAGTTGGTAGTCTGCCTCAGAGGTGACTCACTAACCCAACCCCAACCGGCTTGAGTGCTTTACAATCACCACTCACACACTGGCCATCCAGGTTGTTCCCAGGCATTAACCGGGTCCGAACCAAAAGCCTCCGATCCAAGCTCTTTTTTTAAGCTACTGTGACTACTGTGCTACTGCATGGCTTTGGATAGTGTGAGCAGACAGACCATGCAGAGTCGCCTGGGTACTTGGCCCACGAACTCATTATATTCTTCTTATACCCTTTTTGCGAACCACCTTGCTAATTCAGCTAAATATCTAAGTGAAAACCACTATAATTAACCACAATGAACTATCTCTATATAACATATGCGTTAGACTGCCTCCTAACAAGAGAGTTATGATACCCCTAATCAAGCATGTTTTCACATCCTAATTGTTTCTAACTTAAGTAAAACACACAAACATCTATCCATCACATGTCGTCATTCAAGTCTCTGAAAAACCTCCATTCAGTCCAGTCATCAGTTCACCGTGAACTCTGTCCATGCCCCTGTGAACCCTAGAGCCTCTACTTGTCCACCGCGCTTTTGTAGTTAAGAACTCCCTTGGGCTGTTGAACAGTGAGTCAGCAAGCGCCCATCAAAATACTAGTCCGTCATTCACTATCATCACCTAGAGTCAACCATAGCCCCACAGTGTGGTAAATTATTGTAAAGGCAAAATCTTTATCAACTAAAGGCCCAGAGTCAAGCAAAAGATTTCTTATCAAAGAAATGGGTTATCTGTTCTTGGCTGATCTCAATACAGTATGTCCGTGTGTGAAGCTATTAGGTAATATGTCTACCTCTTTGTTTTCACGTTGTCTCTCCATTCAACAGATGTAAGTGGCACTTACATGTAAATTAATAAATGCAATTGGATTTAGCGAACAGAGAAACAGCTGGGGTGGGGATGGCAGTGGTCTTCTACCTAAACAACTGTGCCAGCAGCAACAAGATACAAGATCCCTTTTAAACTAGAATGAGTATCTCAATACACCAAATCCAAGCAGTTTCAGTTTTTTTTTCAATACTGTCAATTACTACTTTATTGATCATAATACTTGCTTCAAATTTTACATCACTGCCATCACTTTCACTATTTTGATTTATAATTTCTTTTGTTTGAAATAATCAGCAGGATAAGAAAAAAATAATAGCCAGTGCACATGGTGTACATGCAGTATATTATTCTATATGCAATTCAGACAGAGCAGCTTGGCATTTCTTTATACTGAGTTTCCTAAACATTTATTTTAGGAGGTATTATAAACAAGATGCTATTTGTAGAAGGATGACATCAGGCCCTCACAAACAGCAATTTTATCCCAATACAATATCAAGTGCCTGTCTATGGTTGAGGCGGCCAGAAAAGAAGGCAGTAATTTAGTAAAACTAAAAAAGAAAATGAAGAAAGAAAGGATGTACTACATCATGTATAGTAATTATTATGGCACTCTTCCGTATAACGGTCCCCGGGCAGGTAATCTTCTTTCTTTTTGTTTGCCCTTGACATGGCGGTTGGCATGTTGCCTTTTACAACATGCTCTTTAGGTGACAGTGGATCAATTCTTTTTTTCCCCTCAAACGTGTGGCCCTGGAACCCACAAAAAGTCAGGGGTAATGTCTTGTGTGACTTGTCGATAGTTGGAAGGGTATCATTACGTGGTTATTATTGTTACGGAAGTCGATTATTGGTTGGTTGTAATAGTCCCTTGTTAAACAGAGACAGCCTAATAATGACTCATTAAATATATTGAGCTGACTGAGTATCCTCAGGAGAAGGGAAAAGGCGTTTAGAGATCTAGATATACTTTTGGTAAGATGATGAAAGATGAAGACTGCAGGTTACTTATATATTGCTTCATAATGTTTGCACCTCGCCCGTGTGTCACAGGGGCTCTCACGGGAAGCAAAGAATGGTGACACTGCACCCTACCAGGCATGTCGTTAGAGGCGACTAAGGGTAGGGTTGGGCTTGAGGTTGGCTGCCTCATCCTTTAAAAACAATAGCCACAAAAACCAACCAACCATGGATAAGTCAAAAAGAGAAGCAAGTAAAACCCAGCCAACCAAGATGAGGGGAGGCTCTTCAAGTAGAAGAAGTATGACACAGTGTGGAGAAAGCCATAAAGAGTCCTGACCGTTGACGTACTTCCTCTCAGCTAGGAAAACCTCCAGAATTGGCACCTGGAATGTTAGAACTCTCTATGATATAGGGAGAACAATGGAAGTAGCAAGGGAAATGAAGCATTGTAGAATCAGTATTCTAGGGTTTTGTAAAACTAGATGGACTGGGGCAGGAAAAAGTATTATAAATTCAGGGGAAACTATTTTGTTCTCAGGACACACAGAGAAAAATTCGCCCCACAGAGAAGGAGTGGCCCTGATGCTATCGAAAGAAGCAGACAGGGCACTAATAGAATGGGAAGCTGTAAGTCCAAGAGAAGAATAAGAGCATCATTTAGAACAGCGACACAGAAGGTGAACATGTCGGTAATACAGTGTTACGCACCAACAAATGATAAAGATGCATCTGTTAAGGAAGAATTTTACATGCAGCTTCAAAATATTATAAATAATGAAAGAAAGGGCAATCAAAAAATGTTGATAGGTGACCTGAATGCTAAGAAAGGATCAGACAACACAGGTTATAAAGAAATTATGGGAAGACATGGTCTAGGAGTTAATGAATGAAAATGGAGAATTGTTCACAAATTTTTGTGCAGGAAACCTGTATGTTATTGGTGGAAGTATTTTTTCCCATAAAAGAATATACAAGGCAACATGGGAATCACCAGACCATAAGACAACTAATCAAAT